CCTGCCTGGTTGTGGGCAGCCGCTATGGCAGCGCTTGGTGGAGCCTCCCTGGAGCGTGTGCTCACCAACCCATCTGTCTTGTTGCAGCAGATGCCAGTGTGGACCTGCTGCCGGGGCTGTTGCTGAAGAGAGGCCAGACCTCGGTAAGTGGGGGGCCGTGCCCTCGCTCGTAAGCCAGCAGCCAGGTGGGAGCAGCTAACGTGCGGGGCTGCAGGTGCCCTGCCCTGCGCTGCTCCAGTCACCTCGCCCTCGGAGAGCAGCCGGGACAGGCAGTCGCCCTGGGTCGGGGCACAGCTGGTGCTGCTCCTCTTCGTCGGGTTCACTGTAATTTGGGAAACTCTTGACCTTGGTATGGTAAAGAGGCTTATTAATTTCACAAGATCTATTTTGCTCTAACTTCCTAATGAGCTTCAAAGCGTGGTTGATGCAGTGGTGGTGCTCAGAGTGCAGCTTCTCTGACTTTCATGAGGGCCTTTGGCTTCTACAGTGAGGCCTTTGATTGAGAAAATAGGTTGTACCGGGATGACATCGTGCCATACTCAATGAGAGATAAAATCCTGGCTAATGGTTAGATGGTGGATGTTACAGATGAGGAGTTAGCAGGGAGCAGCTGTTTTCCAGAGAGCTGCTGCGAGGAGGTTGTAAGCCCAGCTTTAGAAATGGCTGCGGGTTGTCGTGGTTTGAGAAATAAGATCAGGAGTGGAGTCGTTTGGAAGCAGTTATGCTCCATGACCTGGAGGAAATCGGAACATCTTTGGGGGTGAAATGCGTGGCTGCTCAGGAGTGACCCGGCTTGTTCTCTGTGTTGGATGTGCCAACATTTGAGTACAGGTGAGGTGTGGTTGTACGTCTGCAAAGATGGCGGTAGCTGTACAGGGTGGGCAGTCTCTCTACCATGCTGGTCTCTTGTAGAGCTCTCGCTTCCTGGGGTAACGTGTTGAGGACGAGAACCCCTCGCTTGGAGGCTGAGACCTAACGTGATACCCGCGTGGCTGAATGGGAGTCTTAAGTGAAAGCTGGCAGCTGTTGCTGGTTTTGGCACTGGAGTTGTTTCTGCTGCGTTCGCTTTCTGGCTCTTGTGTCCACAGCTCAAAAAGGATCTTCAGAAAAATTGGAGACGATTCAGAGAAGGTCTTGGGAGGCCTCTCAAGTTCTGGAGGACATGTCTACTGGGAGATTGAGGGAGCTTGGTATAGTTTACATAGTGACTCAATCTGTCTGTAGGTACGGGGTCACAGCTCCAGTAACAAGATGCTTTTCAGTCTAGCATGCAGGTCTGTAATGTGCTCTGGTGGCTGCAGAGTTGCCTAGAAATATCTAGGAGTGTTCTTGGTCAGCCACAAATATTTGACTTGACAGGGGAATAAGCTGGAGCGGGCTGAAAGACTGGCTAAGACCAGAGGCCAGGTTAAAACGCTTGGCTCCTTCTTGCCTTCAGGTTTAATTAAATACTTTTTGTTTCTGGCTTGATTGATCCACCATGTAAGCTGAGTTTGTTCCAAACTGGCTAAAGTTTAACGTGCCTCATGGTCTAGGACGAGGGTGGGTGTCGGGTGTAGCGGAGGAGGCACTGGGATAGCAGATAGCTGCTGTTTAAGTGACTTGGCTGACCCAGGTCCCTGGAACTAGAGAAACTGGCCGTACGTTAGGGTCAGCCAAACCCTTTGCCTTGCTGAGGCAGAACCGTTGTGTATGAACAGTTGATTTAGGACTTCATTCCTGAAGTGACTTCCTGGCCTGATTAGCTTCCTCAAAATGCGCTGAATCTGTCCCAGGGAGTCCTACCTCCCTCCTGCCCTTCCTCCCTTCCTTCCAGGCATGAGGGGTCGATTGATGTCTTTTCTCGTGGAGTTGGGCTGTTGGGACTTTTGCTGAAGATGCTCTCTCTTCTTTAAACTTTCTGCTTTGTGCCTCAGATGGTGAATGCGAAGAAACTGGAGAAGGCGGAAGCCAGGCTGAAAGCCAAGCAGGACAAGAGGATGGAGCGGGATTCCCTGAAATCATCTGGTCCTCTGTGAGTATGGAGGCGCCTCGAACATCACCATCCCGCTCTGCTGAGTGTTGCTGGGATCTGGCTGTACCAGAGTTTTCCTGTTGAGCCCCCTTCTCTGTCTTCTGCCCGCCCACAGGGTCCTTGAGGAGGCGTCTGCCAGCCAAGCTGCCAGCAAGAAGGAGACTCGCATGGAGTCATCAGGCAAGAACAAGTCGTATGATGTGCGCATCGAGAACTTTGACGTGTCCTTCGGTGAGCGGTGAGTGCAGGTGGGGAGGTGGGACAGATCTTGGCTGGGCTTTGGACTATGGGTCATTGAGACTGGATTGGAGAGTGGTTGGGAAATGACAGAGGGTGTGGGAAGGCTCAGAAAGCAAGGTGGGCTCCTGACCCTGTTGGCTTTGGGTAGGAGAAGTCTGTGATGGTTGTTTGGCCCCAGCACAGCCTGAAATGTGCTGGGGGCAGGTGGCTGCCGGTTATCTCCCTCTCCATGGGGCAGTCTGACCAGGTACCTGCCTATTCTCTTGTTTTAGCGTGCTACTGGCGGGAGCAGACCTGAACCTGGCGTTTGGACGGCGCTACGGGCTGGTGGGCAGGAACGGACTGGGGAAGACCACACTGCTGAAGATGATCGCCAGCCGGAGCCTGCGCATCCCCTCGCACATCAGCATCCTCCACGTGGAGCAGGAGGTGGCGGGGGATGAGACACCAGCGCTGCAGAGTGTGCTGGAGTGTGACACCACTCGTGAGAGTCTGCTGCGGGAGGAGAGGGATCTAACGGCTAAGATTAATGCCGGCAGGTGAGATGTTGCCGCTGGGTTTCCGGCCTTTCTGTGGCTTCTTGACTGCGAGATCTCGTTTTGAGGTCTCTCCCTTCAAATGGAGGGCTCCAGCAGGGCTGGTCTGCATCTTGCCCACCTTAGTCCTCCTTGGGGAGACCAGTCTCCCCCAGCACTCAAACCCTGACCCCCATCAGTCCCACACACTCCTCTCTGTCCTGCCCCAGGGGAGAAGGGACAGAAGGTGCCAGGCTATCGGAGATCTACGCGAAGCTGGAGGAGATTGAGGCAGACAAGGCCCCAGCGAGGTGAGACAGCCCTGTGGGCCCTGCTGTCTGTTGGCATGGGCAGTGGTTTGGGACATGGGGCATGGAAGGGTGATGCTGTGGCCCTGGGATCCAGCATGTGGGGACAGGGGGCTCTCCCTGCTGCTCTTCTTCTGTCACAGCTCTGCGGGGTTAGGAGAGGTCGAGCTTCCCCCCGAAGCTAGAGGGATTTTTTTTTTTTTTCCCCCCCAAATGGCTTGCATTGTGGCTGCTGCTCCTCTTGGACCTTCCCAGGTTCCTGGTGTCTGGGGAATGTTTCTGGGATGTTGGTGGTAGTGACTCTATTCCTGGCCAAAGAGCTGAAAGCTTCTTGTGAATCTCCTGGGAATTCATGTGGATGCTGTGCCCTGCTGGGCTGCATTTCCCAGCCAAGCGCTGCTCTTGCGCATGCAGTGAAGTTTTCCTGTGCCAGAACAGCCTTAAACCATGCAGCAGAGTCCCTTAAACCCCCACAGCAGAGTGACTGTGGGTCGGAGGCCTCAGACTGTGCTCTGCTGTTGGATGCTGTAGCTGGGTTCCAGTTCTCTCCCCTTTTCCCCAGGGCATCCGTCATTCTCGCTGGGCTGGGCTTTAATGCAAAGATGCAACAACAGACAACCAAGTAAGTCTCCAGATTCTGGGCATCGAGAAAGAAATGGGTCTGGGGAGATGCTGCTGCTAGTGAGTCCCCAGGCATTGCTGGGGCTGTAAGGGAGGGCAACCCTGTGGGAGAGTGAGGGTCTATTCCTGCCCATTCGATGTGGTCTCCAGCCCTGGGAGTGCCAAGCCACCTGCCTGGACCATGGATCTTGTGCTGCGCCCAAGATCTCTGCAGGGACACGCCGTCTCTGGGTGACAGCAGAGCCGAAAGGGCCGCAGGGGAGCAGGGAGCCTGGCAGGCAGGCAAACAGGGAGCTGTTCTGTGTTAAACAGTGACCCCTCTCTGAAACCTCTTCTCTCCTCAGAGAGTTTTCCGGAGGCTGGAGAATGAGACTGGCCTTAGCCAGAGCCCTGTTTGCCAGGTTGGTGTCCAGGCCTTCATGCCATGGGGTTAACCCTCCTTGCTGTCCATGCTGCGAGGTGTCGGGTGCTGCCTGGGGGTCCTCTCGACTCAGGCTCTCGGGGTGGGGAGCGTTGGAGGCATCGCAGCTCTGTGTGTGTGGTGAAACGCACTCTGCGCTGAGCCTGTGCTCTTTTTTCTTCTGATACCCATGTCTTGTTTTTCCTAGGCCAGATCTCCTTCTGCTGGATGGTAAGTCGATACTGCGAGTCCCCTCCGACACTGCCACTGGGCCTGCCTGTGCCCTTGCTGGGGTTGGGAACGTGCCGTGGCCTTTAGCTGCCTGCTCAAAATAGCCCTGCGTGACAGGGCCGGTGCTGGCAGGGCTGTCAGTGCTCCCCTGGCACGGCGGGCAGAGCTGGCGGTGGCGCGGGGAAGTCTGCTTGGGCCGCCGCTTTCACTGCGCTCAGCAGAGCTCTGCCCTGTGTCCCAGCCGGGTGGTCTGCGTGTCACCGTGCCCCAAGCAGTCCCTTTCCCTCACCTGTCCCTGTGATGGGCCCTGGCTGCCAGCACACTCTGGGGGGAGTCCCTTCACCGCAGGGGGTGACTTCGGCACTGGGCTGGTTCCCTGGGAAGGTGCCCACCTTGGGTGGGGGGTCTGGGCAAGGCGCTGCTGCTGGCCACTGGGGTCCAGGTACCAGTATGGAGTGGGGGGAGCATCCCTGGCTGAGCCTTGGCCCTGTACCCACCCGCCTCAGCACACCCCACACGTGTGAGTCCCCTGAGGTGTGGGGGCAGGTCCCCATGCAGGGTCTTTTCCTCCACAATGCTGATCACTAGCCTTTCCTGTGTAAAAAAAGCGTAATCCAGCCATCCTCATCCCTCCTGACCTCCGTGCCTCTTTTCCTTCCCTCAGAGCCAACGAACATGCTGGACGTGAGGGCCATTTTGTGGCTTGAGACCTACCTGCAGGTAGAGGGTGGTGGGAGGCCCTGGGGCGGAGCGAGGGTGAGGGATGGAGATGTCCTCCAGGCTGGTGTCTCGCTTTGCTGGGTGGTGGGACCAAGCCCTGCACTCTGACTTGATGATGCTCAGGCCTCCCTCTTGTTGTCTCCTCCAGACCTGGCAGTCGACCATCCTCGTGGTGTCCCACGACAGGAACTTCCTGAACGCGGTGGCCACGGACATCATCCACCTGCACTCACAGCGGCTGGACACGTACCGCGGGGACTTTGAGAACTTCATGAAGATCAAGGAGGAGCGGCTGAAGAACCAGCAGCGAGAGTACGAGGCCCAGCAGCAGTACCGTGAGCACATCCAGGTACTGGGAGAAGCCAGTAGTGCTGGGGCACTCTTCTCCCAGCCTCGTCCCTTTCTCCATGCTTCTAGATCCATGGATGTGGCTCTGTTGTTGCAGGAGGTTTGGTAGCAGAGCGGGGTGGCTGGGGCTGAAGGGGACCTGGGGCTGTCTGATGCTTTTCTCTCTTGTAGGTTTTCATTGACCGCTTTCGCTACAACGCCAACCGGGCATCCCAAGTGCAGAGCAAGCTCAAGTTGTTGGAGAAGCTGTGAGTGCCTGTCCTGCTCCTCTCTAGAGGTGGGGAGGGGACAGTGCTCATGGGAAGAAGCAGAGGTTCCCAGGGTGCCTGGGAGATACAGGGGTGGTTTGGGGTTTGGGTGCTCTGTCTCTGGTCCAGAGGCTTTGGTTAGGATGGGAACAGGCCCCCAGTGCAAGGCACCTTGGTTATGTGTCTCCTCTTTTTGCAGGCCAGAGCTGAAACCTGTGGACAAGGAGTCCGAGGTGATCATGAAGTAAGTATCCCCTGAGCCCGTGCTTGGAGGGCGCCTGGCTCCCTTTCTGAGATGAGCTCCTCCTGGGTCCTATCCCGGCTGGGACAACCACCCCTTCCTGCGGGCCAGCCTTACTCTGACAGGGAGCCCAGACAGGCCCCCATGTTCAGGCTGGGTTCCCTCCTGGGGCCAAGGCTGCAGATCCGTGTCCCCTTCTTGTGACCATCCTTCCCAGAGGCCCTGCATGGTAGGGAGCCCCCCTTCCACCAAGGGGGTTGCAGCAGTTGTCCTGGGAGGCTGGGAGCAGGGTCTCTGAAGTTCCTGGCCGTCTCTCACCTCTTCCTGCCTTCCTAGGTTCCCCGATGGCTTTGAGAAGTTCTCCCCCCCTATCCTGCAGCTAGACGAAGTAGACTTCTATTATGACCCAAGTCACTACATCTTTCGTTCCCTCTCCGTCTCTGCTGACCTGGAGTCCCGCATCTGTGTGGTATGTGGGATTGCAGAATAATGGTGGCTACAAGGGACCTTGGGAGGTCCCTGCTCAAAGCAGGGCCAGCTTTGATGTTAGGTCAGGTTGCTCAGGTCCTTGTCCAGTTGAATTTTGGATGTCTCTGGGGAGTATTTCTCCCATTCCTCTGGGTCCCATTGCAGCATTTGATCATCCTCATTTTGAGGAACATTTTTCCTAATACCAGTTAGAATTTGCAGCTTGTGCCTGTTGCCCTTCGTCCTTTCACCAGGCACCTCTGAGAAGAGACTGGGGTCCATCTTCTCTGTAACTCCCTGTTAGTTAGCTGACAACAGCAGCATTGTAGTGGAGACTCCTGCTGCGTTGGATGGGGCAGCAGAGAGATGCTATTTGCTTGCCAATGAGGCTGGGACCAGGTAATCCTTAGGCTAGAGGGTTGGGGAAGGAACATCTTCTAGCACTGCTGCCTGTGCTGCTCCTCAGTGATAGAAATGCAGCTTCCAGGTAGCTGGAGCCACTAGACGCTCATCCTGCCCCCCTCTGCTGCGTGATCATCCAAGAGAGCTGAAATTCCCTGATCACTGCCCCCCTCTCCAAAGTACCTTCATGGGTTTCACGTTCTCCAATGCTGCTGCTGCTTCTCTAGGTTGGGGAAAACGGAGCTGGCAAGTCGACCATGCTAAAGATCTTAATGGGGGAGCTGGCACCAGTCAGAGGGATCAGACATGCTCACAGGTACCTGGTAGGAAGGGCTGGGGGACTGGGAGGAATGGTGCAGTTGGAGGGCTTCTGGGCTTTTGGAGTGATGGCTGCCCGAGTGATGGGGATGGGTCCTGCACACCCACGCATATGCCCCCCTTCCCATAGCTACAGCTGCGAGCACTGTGGTTGCGGGCCCTGGTACCAGCTCCCAGTCTCTTCTCATTCTGCAGAAACCTAAAGATCGGTTATTTCAGCCAGCACCATGTGGATCAACTGGACTTGAACATCAGTGCTGTAGAGTTGCTGGCAAGAAAGTTCCCAGGTGAGTTTTGGAGATTCCAGGAGATCTGGGCCGTTGAGGTCTCCTTTGCCACGCACAGAGCAGCATCGATTTGTTCCGTGGCCCTGGGCAGAAGGCTCTGTCACATCAGTGCTTAAGGGACACCGCCTGCTCTGGGTTAACTCCCCACGTCCAGCACAAGTTCAGGACACCAGCTGTGAGAAGGTGAGCTGGTTGTGCAGGGGTAGCCGGCAGTCTGCAGACCTCAGGCTGGTGCTCCACCGTGGCCGGGTTTTGGGGGCAGATGACCCGCTTTCTTGCTGGGCACAGAACGAGCACTGGCTCCCCCTTTCCCAGCTACCAAAACCTCCAGCTCTCTTCTCCTTTTAACATTAGTTAATGCAGTGACAGGGAATTGGGGGCAGCATCACTTGGAGTCAGTCACCAGCCCTGCAGCCCCTGTCCTGATTGTGTCAGTCAGGTTTTCCCCGCAACCCCCTGCTCGGGAGGGAATTGCCTGGAAGCGGCTGCTGAATTCTTCCCCCACCGTGCTGGTGTGGCAGGGGCTGCCCGGCCATGGCGCCCACCGAGCTCACGGCACCGAGGGCCCTGTGTCACGCTGGGTGTGCCATAGCTGTGTTGTGACATGCTCCTGCAGGGAAGACAGAGGAGGAATACCGGCATCAGCTGGGGAGCTACGGTGTCTCGGGGGAGCTGGCTGTGCGTCCTGTGGCCAGCCTGTCTGGAGGTCAGAAGAGCCGCGTGGCCTTTGCCCAGATGACTATGTCCTGGTAATTTTCTCCCAGATGCTGTTAATTTTTGCATGGCTCCATCTCCGGAGCCCCAGGAGGAAGGCGGGCATCCAGGGACTTTCCACTGCCCCGCGGAAGCCTCATCTTTGGGACTTTTGTGGGGAGGGAGGTTGTCACCTGGGGGGGGATTGTGTGGAAGGAGGCAGGTGGCTTTCTCCTGCTTCTTTGGGCTCACAAGGATAAGAGGTGTCCCTGGACCTGGGCAATGCTGATCTTGGGGCCATGCAAATGCTGGTGGCTTCGGCTTTTCGTGGCCAATGCAGCCTGGTGGAGGTCCCTGCAGTGCGAGGGGGTGCGGACCCAGCCTGGGCTGTTCCAGTGCATGCTCAGAGCCGTCTTCTATTCCAGTCCAAACTTCTACATCCTGGATGAGCCAACAAATCACCTGGACATGGAGACCATCGAGGCACTGGCAAAGGCACTGAATAAGTTCCGGGTAAGGCTGCCTCAGTGAGATATCCCATTTTTCTAACGCTCCCTGCAGCCTCCAGCTCAGGTTACTTGGTATCTCAGCCAGAGGTGGACAGTCAAATACCAGTGATGGCTTCAAGTCCAGGACAGGTGTTGGGAAGGGTCAGTCACATTTCTGCCTTAGCCGCCCATCCTGGTGTGGTTTGTTTCACTTCCTGGCTTTGGCTAGGGGTGGCTGAGAGAGGCAACAGCAGACCAGAGAGCACCTTGTCCCCCATCTTGGCCAGTCACCTACACTCTGTGACTTCTTGTGTGCTGCTGTGTGCTGCATGTGGTGCTCAGCCCTGCTTTGGGGCCTCTCAGCTCTTCCTTAGGCACAATTTATGACTGATCTCCAAAGACTCAGCCTCCAGATACCACTGTGATCAACTTGGTTCTCACTGTTCTATAGTTGCTCAGGCTGGGGCAGTTTTCCTGTAAAAGAAAAGCTCAACTGAGGTTGCTCAGCACCTAGTCCAGCCACCTTTTGGCTGTCATTGACTCCACCTGGAATCTCCATCCTTGCCGTTGTCAGAGACCTGGAGAGCCAGTAACAAACCCTGCACTTGCCTTCTGAGAGGGGAGGATAAATACATTATTGCTGCCCATGCCTCTTCCGTACGTCATCTGTCTGTCCACCTGAAGGAAGGATTAGGTCCCTGCCAGTGAAGTAATGTTCAGTTTTCCCTGGAGTGGATGGAAACCTGAAGTCCTGGGCACAGGCTGGACAGGGGCACAGGATCTCCATGCCACCAGCGCTGGGTGCTGGGTTGTGCTCCACTAAGTTCCCTTTTTCCCCCCCTTGTCTGTTGGCAGGGTGGTGTAATTCTGGTGTCCCACGACGAGCGCTTCATCCGCCTGGTGTGCCAGGAGCTGTGGGTGTGCGAGAACGCCACCGTGACCCGCATCGAGGGCGGCTTTGACCAGTACAGAGACATCCTGAAGGAGCAGTTCCGGAAGGAGGGTTTCCTATAAGGGAGGCAGGAGCCAGACTGTGCCAGGGGCTGGAGCGCGAAGCTCGGCCGCCTCGGCATCCATCCCAACTGTGCCTGGCAGAGCACCGAGGACGCTGCTGCCCGCATGGACCGTCAGCCATGCCATCAAACTGCCACCTGAACTGCTCTCCCCTCCTGGGACCGGGTGGAAGGACGGCGAGGGAGCAGGAGCCCGGTGCTGCGTGTGGCTGGAGGCACTCCGGGGGCTCTGCCGCCAGCCAGGGCTGCGCCTGGCGCTGGGCACACTGGAAAAGCTGTGCCTGGAGCTGCTGCTCTGCCGAGAGGAGGGAAGGAGGTGTCGCATCCCGACCCCCCCCATTTAACTCCGTGCTCTGGAGGGCAGGAGAGGAGCTGTTCTCCATGTTTCTTCGCTTCCCCCTCTGCCTTTTTCTTTCTTTCTTTTTTGTTTGTTTTTTTTTTTTTTTTTTTTTTTGTTTT